TAGAGAAGAATTAAATACATCTATATTTGACGTAGCGTATATTTTACGCTCTTATCATTTATTTTAACAATCGATATTTCGAGCTTTTTTATGAAGTTTAGTAAAATATGGAACAAATCTATATATATTTTCTTCCTTATATATAATACCCAAATATTTGCATATCGCTAATTTTAAACGCCTAGGAAATACTTCGGAAGTATATAACATAAGAATTCGTTGATACAATAAGTAATAAGGTTTGTTACTACTCTCTAATACAACAAATGACACAGTCATGGCAAGAAGCAATGCAAGTGGGATTTCAAACTCTGACTCTATTACGGGGATAATTAAAGCTAACCACGGTAAACAAAAGGTATTATTGAGTTTCCATTTAAGTAATATTTTACAAGCAGGAGATTCAATTTTATTGTTGTTGGTATAATACAGCACATGCAGAAATATAGTTGGATAAGAGAACGCTATTTTACTTTCAGTAATTATTAGTGGATCGAAGTTATTCGTATCAGATATATGATATTTATTTCTCATAATTGCGATTAAATATTGTACTTCACTGCAGGCTGGATGTAATCAACTTTAGTCATTCTCACATTATTCAAAAAACATATAGTCATGATCATCAATATAAAACGGCACGTTATTGGAAAAATTCCCACGACTCTTTTCTTTCGTGGAGATTTGGAATTCGTTGAAATAAAGGACAGTTGCAAATAACGAACAAGTTACAGCTTAGAGAAAATTAAAATTTTTTTTTTCCACAATAAAAACTAAAACGAAGAATCCAGTATCTTCTCGTAAATGTCGCTTCGAGATAAACTAAAAATCGGTACACAAGTGGTGGGACCAAAAGGACATCGAGTTTGTGCCTCGGATACTGCGGCTAAAATAATAATAAATATATCATTGGAACCATAAGACCGACGCCAAGATACTTTTTAACAGTCAAGTCACGGACGATTCTCACGAGTCCGTGATTACAAAATCTAATGCCCGTATTCATAGTTTGTATTTAAGGCTTCCTTAAATTTATCTTTAGATGCTTAGCAGCCAATGAAATAATTCGTAGAGTATCTAAAGATAAATTTAAGAAAGCCTTAAATATAAGGCCTGACTATGAATATGAGTGTAAAAAGCGACGTTCAAAGGTAGAGTCTGGGTAATCTCATGCCGACGCTGCATGTGTGCTTTCTTGACGCACGTGCGTTTTCTCATAAATATTAAGATAATAAAATTAAGGATAACATTTTCCCACACTATAGACTCTAGTCAACATCCTTCCTTCCCTAAAATCTTGACCAATCCGATAGCAAAGAAAAATCCTACTAGTTAAAACCTATTCCACCAATCCGAACTTGAGTAATCGAGAATGATTAGTATAAAAACCACAGTTCCGTGGTTTCTCAGTGTGATTTTTCTTTGAGTTTTTGGAAGCTAGTTGTGTCGGGACCTTTGAAAAAGGCTTCATCTGATTCTCGAAGTCTTTTTCTCCAGTAGAGTGCAACCTTAATAAAACTATATCAATCAAAACTATTCATCTACTTAAGACCAACGACTGACTGTGGAAATTGACGAAGTGCTAGCGTCCAGCATCTCACAGTTGACGGCATCCTGTCCGATCTCTCTCGGACATCCTATACATCGCTATCACCAAGTAGTAAGTTTTGATTTCGGTGTAATACACTGGATGGTCTCTCCTCTTCTTGTGTGATCCCTCTTTAAAGACGACCAAATTTTTAGTGCGTTCACGCAATTCTTCCACCTCTCGTCACCGTCACCTAGCGGGGACTAACAACGCGCATCGACTTACCGCCCGTGTCCGCTTTAACACCGTAGAAAACTCTCGAGAACAATCTCCGCTAATTCAGGCATCGGCACAAGAACAGACTCCGGTCTTTTAGCCTCCAGTCTCGAGTCTATCGGCACTACTAGAAATTTCTTATTCCCCTGTCTCCGATCTATCCCCAGACTTTTTCGATGGCCTTTTCTTGTCCAGTTCTCTCCATGTTTCATATCCGATATAATTACTTCCGATTGAGGAATTTTTTGTCTCGCATACTATCCCCTCAATTCCTCCTATTCAAATCCCTCCTGTTCCTGACGCTTACTCTCCCGCTAGTCACCTTCCCCTTTTCTTTCATAATGCTCAATTGGAATACATGTCCTACTTTATTCCTTCCACTAACGACCGGGTGATAGTCAGCATCGCAGGATTCATTTTCCTTTTTTTCAGTCCCCATATTCATTCTCATCGATCCTCTTTCCTTCCAACCATATGAATATACACAAATTTAATTTTCGCCTTACCTTTTAAATTCTCCGCACTCAAAATAACGCCGTAATAATAGTAAAGTATTACATAATAATAAAATATTACACAACTTTCTTTCCACACACTCACACATACACAAATCCGTACGCTAATACATTTTAGAATAGAGAACCAAAAGATTGTATTTTATACTTAAGAAAAATGTATTGCTAAATATTTCTTTTATATAGTACTATTAAACCTATCTAACTCTCGTTTGTTAATTTGAAAAGCTTCTCCTTGTATTCATTGTAAGCTCTCCTATGGTTGCACTTCGCCCTCTTCCCGATCACTTTGATTAAATTCTATGACCGAAAGCCAGGGTATACGTACTGGCACATCTGGCGTTAAAATACGCTCTCGCGGCACACTGACCCAATTTGGCCCTTTAAATTATAAGTACGTTCGATTCGTGTCCGTTTAGTACGAGCTGAGGTTTCCACTTCGTTCTCCATTCGATCCTCGGCTTATTAGAAGCTTCAGGACGAGCAAAGTGTTTCCCGATTTGCGTCGATTCTTCCCCACAAGCTCCCTTGCGATCCGGAGTCTGGATTAAGGTCTAATAATTCGGTTCCTGTTGCGTTCACCCCTTCAGCTCCATATATGCGAAGCTTGGACGTAACAGTTCCAATTCGTGTAAAAAAAGTGAGAAAGATATAAAATTATATAGAAATTCTGAAAAATTATATGACAAATTCTGAGAAAAATTTTCATCAGGAATGACTTTACCACTCACTTTTGTTAACAATAAATAAATTTCCATTGCTACAGATTTAAATTGTATATAACATTTTCTAGAATCTTAATAAATTGACATCTGATACATTGACATCTGATAAAGTTATTTATCAGAAACATGTAAAATGTTACAATCCAAATGCTTTGCTTTAACTAAATTATTTTATTGCATCAATCAAGAATTTTTTGTCCATATCCAAACAAAAAATTAATTATTGTGAAAAATATTACCTCAGCCAAGATTCACAATAAATTTCTTATTTTCTATCTTTCTTTCTTTCCAATTTAATTTAAAGGGCGGGGTTATTATTATTAGCGTTTCGCAGAATGGTTGTGTTGAAACCGAATGTTATCAGCTCCCAATTATATCTGGAATAAATTGATTTAACAAAAGAATATGTAATGTATTATTAGTAACATCCAAAATTTGACCGGTCTTGACGTTCGTATTTGTTGTATTTACATGTACAGTGCTTAAAATTCTTAATGTGTTATTAAATTAATTCAACAAAATTATCCATTCTGAATCTTCGCTCAGCAGCGAGGGGTGATTCTCAGGAGCAAAATGTAAATTAATAAAATCGAGTTCATTGTAAATCAACAACATAGCAAGCAACAAAAAGAGAAATGTAATCAGCTGAAATGTTTGAATAATTTATTTTAAGGTATTGTGCTGTTATAGATTAGTCAGGGGAGTCGTTTTTAGGAGTTGAGAGTGAAGCAACATAATTGGGAATTAAACAACAAATTAGCAACAAAAGAGCATTAAATTTCTATGTAAATTTCATTCGATTGTGCTGTGTCAGTTTAAACATGTTAAAGTCTCTTATTAAGTATTCGAAAGACATAATTCTATATATATATATATATATATAGATGAATGTAAACATACGTTTTAACGACTTG